GTTTTTTCAAATTCATATTCTCGTCTTTCCTATATTATTATAAATATTAGATGATGTGTTAAGATTTTTTTTTCTAAATAATGACACTTACAGGTGTTAAATTAGTCCATATTGTTAAACCAACTATTTTTTGTATTTGAGATCGAATAACATCCAATTCCTAAAGAAATTTTGATTAGATTTATCGTTAAAATAAATACAAGTGTGAAAATGACAAGAAGACATCTATGTAAAAAGCTATTAGCTCAATCCTTTTAGGATTAAAATATGAAACATCATATCGTTGTTATTCCCAACCTCAAGGGAACAATTGCCAGATAAATGAAGTATTGCCGATTTCGATAAAAAAACTCCGGAAAATGGTAGATAAGCAGGAATTCGATGACCAACTTTATCTAATTCCTACCAAGATCGTTGTAACCAGACAGAGTCAGCAACTGAATACAATTACTAGATTCCTGCTTCCAAGTTTCTACCGTTTTTCAACCGGGAACGACGTCTACTCTGCGAGTTTCCACCAGTCGAGACAGTATGCATCATGTAGGTTCTAATGAGCTATAAATATTCGGACTTGTAGATGGTTATTGCCGAGACACACTCTATTTTACGGTATTTTTAGCACAATACTATGATCTTCTCTCAAGAACATCAGGAAAACTAAATTTCAGCTTGAAACTTTGCACAAAGACAGATCTTACTGAGAATAGCTTATTGTAAAAGTTTCAGATTTACTAATTGCGTCTATTCTAAAATAAGGATATAGAAATTCACCGTTGTATATGAGCGACATGAAAAAACATGCTTTTACTATAGTCGTATCTTAAGATAGAAGTAATCAAAAGATTTGAAACTATTACAATAAACTATTCTCATTAAGATCTGTCTCTGTGCAAAGTTTGAATTCGAAATTCGAAACTCAGTTTTCCTGAGGAGAATTACGCAATTATGCTAAAATGTACAGTACCTCGACAGTAATAAGCTATTGATCCGAATTCTTTTCAGAGTATTCATGTATCATTAGAACCTACATGATGTTATGTCCGATATCATGTTATAAAGTACAGTAAAACCTCCATTAGATGGGCACCTACGGGACTTTTTCAAATCACCCACTTAATGAAGGTGCCCGCGTTATAGAGTTTTTTACAGATATCGAACACAAATTTGTTTTCAGCAACCTACGTTATAAAGAACACCTATACTTATATATTGCCAATCGATCTTTAGACCTTTGACTATGTCCAATATTTTACTCTAATCATCTGATATCTTTTCTTGAACTAAGTTTATTTTCGTATTTACAATCAAGCTTTTCGAAAAAAATCCATAATTGAACTTTACTTGTTAGTTTTTGAATCAATGTAAGCATCAGTCAGTTTCATCGATCTTATGGTCTGACTCATATTGCAGTTTGCATTTAATACCTTTGTTCGTATTCGTTTGGAAATCCTATTTGTATTCCTCTTTTCGTTGAAGAATGTTATACACAGCACTCTTTGATACCTTCTACTTCTCACACAATTTACACTGTAATAGTCCAACTCCATCGGCATAGTCGTTGATCAATGCGATCTTCACATCAAGTGAAAGGTAATGACACGACGTCATTTCTCAATGATTTTAAAGAATAATGTCAAAATACACGACTATTTATACTCTTCTTATCATTGACGGCACAATTAGAAATGTATAGGTTACGTCGGACTAACTTTTCTCTCTTCGATTCTCAGAACAATAAAGAACAACGAGAAGAAAAAGAACAATGTGCTGATTAAAATATTCACTATATCTGCCCATTTAAGAGAGGTTTAGTTATATAGTATGGCCTAAAAACCAGTGCCCACTCTCAGAGGTGGAAGGTACCCTTGTTAGAGAGGCTCACTCCCAGCAAAAATCGATCGGTCGTTCCACCGAGTGTCCATATAGAGAGATTTTACTGTATATGGATTATACCTTTAACACATTTGTCTTATGGCTCGTGAGAAAAATTTGCTAATCCTTATCCTGTTGGGTAGAGTGATTCTATACATCTCTACTAGCGATTAAATACATTTCAAATTGACTCATATCGAATTTATGGCTTTTTGTTTTCTGATATGTATTTTGCTTCTCTATCATATTAAAACCTATTATTAATATTATACGGTAAACTGATTCGATATGAGAATCAATACAGCTAAAAAAAAAAACTTCCAAATCAATATTAGATATATAATTCTGTATGATTTCCATAAATTAATTTTATGGCAAACTCAAAACATTCTCCTTACACAGTTTAATATCAATTGACTAACATATTTTTCATATACTTACAAGACTATTGAAGCAATGATCAAGAAACATAATTAAAATAGTTTGTTCTTTAATGGATAATTCATCACCTTCCAAACATAAATGCATTACACGAGAAAAAAATTTACCAAAATGTTCTGGATTTGCATTTATAGCCTAGAGATAGATTAATTAAATATACAAAATAGAATAATTTCTCTTATATATATATATATACATACATCCCATGGTTGTACACGTTCACGAAATTTTTCATTAACCATAACACATACAGACATAACATGATAAGGTGAACACTAAAATCAAACTCTTTTCAATATTTTGTTTTTTTAAAATGAATCAAATTTTACTTGATCTGGATTTAAATTTGGCCAAAGAAAAT